ATCTCTATCAGTTGCCAGATCTCATATCTCTTGCCAGATCTTCAAAATCTACAGTACAAAGTCTGTAGGAACTTGCATTATATTATAGACAACAAAAGGTTGGAGCCAGGAGGTGTGTAAGGAAGCATCAGCAACATTTTTCTTTCCCTGTTAGCAGTTAGAGGAATTCTAATTCTGTTCTCAGCAGCCACATTGCTTAATATTTCTCTAAGGGTTGTAGAAGTCATTGCTTGATGGTTACTGCTTTGGACAGGTAGAGCAGATGTGCATCAGCCATTTGTTATCCACTGTGTGCTGAGAACTACTTAGGGCCTATCTGGAGGCTGTTTCTTTGGCTGCCATCAGCATTTCTGGCATCTGTATCACAGTCATCAGCCTGGTTAGCAGGAGGGACTCTGGCTATTATGATAAGCAGGACAGGCTGCCAGTGCGAAAAAATAAAATCTTGTGGAGGGTTTTGTTTTTCAAATGATTGTGAGGATGGAAGAATGAAGGATAAGAGGGACAGCTGACAAATCTGCTTGAGAAGATCCCGACTTCTTTTCTGTTCCAGCCCTAACAGCCATTCTCTCCTGTACGAAAGGTGACAAATGCTGATTAAAATCTAAACATGTAAAAAACATTTAAACATTTGAGAAATTGAAATTAAAAAAAAAAAAAAAGCAGAAATGTTGCTGCCTTCTGTACTGACAGTATTCCTATAAAATCTCTGCAGTCCATGTTTGCCTACTAGGAAAGGAAAATTGGGAAATGTAAGTAACTGAGGACAGTGTCAGTAAGCCAGTCAGAACTTAATCCAGACTGCTGATACATAAAGTACATTTTTCTTCCCTTAGTATTTAAAGCAATGCTGTTACCTCATTCAAGACCACTGCCCTTGCTTTTCAAACTCATACTCTTTAGCCTCCTTCAGTATCTAGTTTTTCTGCAGGATTGTAGGTTTGTTACCAGCATGAAGGTTCCTGACCAGATAGGGTGGAGTGGTTTGAATTGGGCAGAACCTGTTTGTTTCTCAGTTGTGAAAGGCTTAGAAGTCTGCTTAAAAATAAATAGTTTATGGAAGGAATCTGTTACGTCAGCTCCAGTTAATAACTGCTTTCAGATGCAGAGGATATTCTTAGGAAAAACTGGATTTGTTTCATCATTGTGATTTTTTTTCTTTTTTTTTTTTGCACTCTCCCATGAAGATGTGCATTTTGGGATGAATCCCAAGGGTATCCGTAACAAATTTGATATTACAGGATACTGAGACCTTTTATATGAGTCTAACCATTGTTTCCTCTAAATACAACCTGCTGCAATGGTTGAGACAGACACAAGAGCAGTCTTATTCACTGCAGTGTCCCATTTGTACAACTGACCTTTGCCATGAAGCAGTGAACTGTAAGCACTTAGTGATGATGCATAGCTTAGGACAACCAAGCTAAGCAGCTAGAGAGTGGATTGAAAGGTTGCTTTTTCCTCATGCTTCTGCCAAAAGTGTACAAGGGGAAAAAAAAAAAAGAAAAAAAAGAATTAATCTTGCCTTCATTTTTATAGCAGAATGGATCTGATATAGAGAAATAGGGCTGAGTATTAACCTGGAGGGTTATAAACATGAATGCTGTTATGCAGATGATGTGATGAACAGTATATGCTCGTACAGTGGAGGTGTGCAGAGTCATGAGGGACTTCTGTGCTAATGTAGGGCAGTTTGTGGGCAGTAACTTCTTGATCGTTACTGCTCATTGTTCAGGTCTCTTTGGTTTGTCACTAAGTGCTGTACAGACAGTATTATAATTTTCCTCTATGTGTGACACCTTGCCTTCAGAAACATAATCTCTGGTGCCACAGACGTTAATTGAAAGCGATGGAGGCTTTAGCAACTTCATCTCCATTATTTATTTGAAAATACAGCAGAGGAGATGCTGTTTTTCTCTAGGAGCCTCTCTCCTATTTGCAGGATCTGACACTGGGTTGTTATGCTCAGCAAGCAGATTTTTTTTAGCTTAGTCAGCTGCAGCCCATTGATTAGATCTTTCTCCTCATGGCTCAGACTGCACTGCAGCAGTTTGCAGTGCCTTGCCGAAAATACCATGTGTGTGAGGGTGGCTGTGTGATTCAGTGGGCAGAGAGAAGAGATGGTAGGCAGGACAACGCGGAGCCTGTTCATAGGAGCATGATGAAGGCTGCAGAAACGTGTCCACTAGTTAAGAATATTTCCAAATGTCTGTGCAGTGTTAAAAATGAACTTCACTGCAGTGAACAAGGTTTTAGAAGATGAGATTATGACACTTTTTTTTCTAATGAGGGGTTTCTAGAAAATGAGTTATTTTATAACACAAAGGAGATTAACTCCTACATCCTAAGACCCCAAATATTCAAACATAAAAGCCCAGTAGATTTCATACTTAATTTTTCTTGAAACATGTAAGATGTAATGTTACTGGTAAGATTAGCATTTTTGCTGTAGAATAAAACAGATTTCTGGAGCTGTAGTACTCAGAGCACTGCATTAGCCTAGGAAGAGAGAAAATTTCTCTTCAACTTTGTATTGTAAAAAAGATAATTGCAGAAAAAGCTAACAGCCCAGCACTGTCACATTAATTCGTATAGGGATGAGAGGAAGGAGAAGAGTGGACCTATGTCTAAAAAATACTGCACATTTAATGTATTATAAAATGCAATTTCTGTGGGAATGGGTTAGTTACAGAGCATTATTGAACATTAGAACTAAAGAACATTTCAGATAATTATGTAAAGTTTCGTGTTACTCTTGTTGGAGTACCAAACTTAGAGTTCAGAAGGGAGATTGTGTTGTTTTAAATCATCACATCTAAAGAAAATCAGTGTGGTTTAAAAGTATCAGGAGCAGACCAGCTGATAGATTTCCAGGTGATTAGCACACAGATACTCTTGTACCTTGTCCATTGTAACTGGCTGTTTCTTTGCTTTCTTCATCTGGAAGCCCTGGTGTAGGAAGTATAACATTGGACTACCTGTATCAGGTTGCTATGATTTTTTTTTTTCCTCATGTAGCAGCTCTCTAGTTAGAACTTTGTGGCACAGGGCTGGGGGGAAGGAAATGCAACTCAGGCTCAAATCTCATATATGCCTGAAGGGGGCTATGATCCCATTTTCCATTTCTGAGTGCCTGTACTGCTAAGCTGCAGGGGAGTTGTGGTACCTCTGAATGTGTCATTCCTTCTGATCGGTGCTGTGCCATCTGAAGTTCTGAGCATTCTTTCCACTGGTCTACAGAAAGAGGAATGGGAAGCTATTACTGTGTTCAGTGGTCAGGGAACAGGGGCGAGTGAATGCTGAGTTGGGTTTACAGGTCAAGTCTTTTCTACATCAGGTAAGTGCACTTGCTGTCAGGTCGAAGTCTCTGTCAAACACTCCCTCTGTGATTGAAATATTAAATTAGTCTGTGCAAAATGGATCTTTTCCAATGTAGATGTTGTTAGTCTTGCATCTTAAGCATACTGTAGCTTAAGCGTACGAGTGTGCTCTGGAAGGAGGGAGGTTTTCACGTCGTATGGAGGTGGGGGGGGGTTGAACTCTGTTCTCCTGTGTAAGAAACGAGTGTGGCAATTAAATGTTTGGAGGCTAAAGTTGTCCTGTTCAAGAATCGAGTGATAAATAAGATTATGGCTGGAGAAAGCTTTTGATTAAAAAAATAAATAAAAGTTGGTCACTCTTACCCTGCTTTCTAATGCGTGGAGAGGCGTTGTTCTCATCTCCTGCACAAATTCTAGCACGGGAATTTTATATGCTTAGCCTGTTGGCACATTGCTTGAAAAGACAAAGTGATCCTTTTGCTCTTCTTTTATGTTAAAATCCACTGAAATTTTCAAGATTACCAAGAATGAAGAATGAAAGAATGTTGTCTTTCTAACTCACCTCTTCGTATGTTTCGGTTTGGAAATAATGCTACAAGAAACTCTGTTGGGTTGTTGGCTTTTGATTAATTGTTTTCTGTTGGAATATACAACTCTCAGCCAAGGTTTTTTTTCACTTTACTGAGTTGTGTTTCAATATACTATTAGCTCTTGCCTCTAATCAGAGTGGTCTTTGCATTTTTATACTATGCAAATCAGACCTTAAGATAAAGTATCTGCTCACATGGCCTAAAAGCAATACTGACATTCATTCTGCCCTCTTACAAACCACCTTTGTGCTTCTCACCACAACCAGCAGAGATCTAGCTTTCTAGATGGGGTGTTGCAGCAAGCCTGGGGAAAGGGAAGTTGCCTCAAGTTGACAGCTCTAAAACCTGTGATGTTGGCGAAGTAGTGATAGTAAGAATGCTGGTGAGGGAAGGAAAAAAAAGTAAGGTGGTGGCTGTAGAAATAACTAGAAAATTTGGGTGGAAACTCATAAATAATCAGGCAAGGGGATTTTTCTTCATTTATAGAAAATAAGACACTAATGTTAGAATTTGCACGGGTGAAGAGGATAGGAGATGCATTAAGGGCAAACCTGCATGCTGGTTATTATGCCAGTTGGATTGTGGGAGGAGAGGAGGTTTAGGTATCAGATAATTTTAGGAAGGAAAATCACTGTAGGATCGTATGACTGGTCTGTGGTTAGGCTGTAAGCAACTCTGCTCTTGAATTTGTATTTTATACTTATGATTAGGAATAATCAGGGAGAAGTCCCTCTCTAGAGGGACCCCTCTCACTACTTACAGAGCTCTGTTAAACCACACTGAAAGTTCTGTGTCTAATTGGAAACACATACGCCATGGAGACAGCAGCCATGAAAGGATGATGGGGGATGACAACAGCTAAGCAAAATGCCCTGGTTTCTGAATGGATGCAATATTGAATTGTTTTTTAATTTGTTTTTTTCCTCATTTTGTTGTTTTTTTTATCATGTTTTTCTTTGGGTTTCTCTCTGTTTTACAGTTCTTTTGAGCTCTTCTTTTGAGGCTGTGTTTGATGCGTTGGCTTCCCATCCGCTGCTCGTAACCATCTCTGCTATGAGTTGTGAGTGAGCCATCATCATGCTTCTGGGTTTTCATTTTGTTTTGCTCTTTTGTTGTATATGGAAGTCTGATTACACCTGGTTTTATTTTTTTCCCCTCATGATATGTTTGCTTTTCAGCAGGATCATGACAGCTATCTAAATGTGCTGCAGAAACCTAGAGCACTTGGGGTTTTGCTTAAGGGGTTGGCAGATGGGTGGTACCAGAGACTGTGGTTTTGTCACTCTTGTGGCTTCAGAGGCAAAGGGAGGGGAGTTCTCTCATCTGACACTTTTGACTCCAGATTTTTCTGTTTATTCATTTCTAACTCCCCGTTGGACAAACTATGCTGCTGTCATTAATAATTCTGCAGTGTAGTACTGTTTAAATTAGTATCTCAAAATGTATGCGAAAGATGAGGAATTTGACTCCACAGTAGATGTGGAGGTTCAAATCACTGTGTCTCCTTTTAGGCCTAACCAATGGAAGTAGAAAATCCCTTGTACTTACCAGGATGCTGGCTTTTTGTTTATTTAAGGTTTCCTTTTTTTTTTCTTTTTACTCCAACTTTTCCAGCAAGTTATTTCAGTCCAAGATACATCTCCAAGTGCTTCCTGTGATCTGTGACACTTCCTTCCTCCCCTTAGCCTCTTCTCTCTGGTCTGCGCTAGCTTTCCTTTCATTTTCTTACTGTTGGAAATCCCTTTCCTATTTCCATGACTGATTAACTGATCCTAGATGACAACAGTCCTGCCAGAGGCGAAGGTGGTGGGTCTCATGAGATGTTTGCACAGGTTGGGGAGGAACCAGTAGTCATGTTCTATTAGAATACCACAGGAGTAAGAAACAGCAGGAGGAAAGTAACTGGCATCCAAATGTAAGTTATTAGGAATGGAGATGGAGATCAGGGCCTTCAAAGTTAGCAATCTACAGAACAATGAGATGAGAGAAAAAGTTTCAATGTGTAGGAAGAAAGGTAGTGTAAGAAGCAAAGATTCTGGTTCATGATGAAATAGGAATGTTCCTGAATTAAAGTGAGCATTTACAAGAAAGGTAAATTTAATTTGAATCATAAGGGAGACAGAATTGGCCCTTTTAATACAGGTGGTCAGAAGTGTTTAAAATGCAGAATGAGGAAATGTTCACGGGTGCAAAGCAGGACACAATTTGGGAAAATGTACCCACTTTGTACATGGGTTACTCTGAAAGTAATGTCTCCTATTTATTTCCTAATGGAAACTACAACAGACACAAAGGAAAATATAACACAAAACTCTCAGCTGCAAAGCATTGTTTTTTTCAACAAGGTCAGCACCTACATGCCTTTGCAAGTGACCAGGAGCCTGCAATTCATGCTTATAAAAATCTGCACCACTGTTTCACGGCTGTTCTGACAATGTCATTGCTAGGAAAATGTTGTCCATGTTGTTCATCTTTAATTGAACTGAATAGATGGAAGTCAGAAGGCACCAAATCCAGACTGTACTGTGGGTGGCTGTGGTAGGATAGTCCAGCCAAGCTGTTCTCCATCGTCTTCAGATTGGTATGGGGCCTGACATTATTGCGTTGGAAGAGAAAGGTTGTCTTCTTTTCTGGCCTGATCCTGGAAGTTCAAGCCTTCAGCTTAATCAGCATAATCAGCATTACAACTTGATAGTTTGTCAAGGTTCCAGGAAATTCAGGAGGATCATCACTTTCCTATCACAAAATACACTGCACATGGCCTTAGCTGCTGGGGCTGTCTTGAACTTTTTCTTCAATGGGGAGTTCACATGTTGCCACTCTGTGGACTGCTGTTTTGACTCTGGTGGTGACACCATGTTTCACCACGCTAATGATGTGATTCAGAAAACTGTAATCTTCAGCCTCGTTTCAATAGGTGCTGACAAACTCTACACAGTGTTGTTTCTGTTCCTGTGTGAGCGTTCATTGTGCCTACCTGGTGCAAACTTCTGTGATATTCCTATGTTGTCACCATCATTTCTAGTACACTGAAGCCGATATTCAGCTCCATGTGCAGTTCCCTGGTTGTAATCTATCAGTTCACATGGATGAACTGATCAAGACCTTCATTTTGTTGTGTGACAGCTGGGCATGGCCATCCAAAAAGTGGTTTATTTTTCAAATCACTGTTGTTACTGCTTAAACACACCTGACTGTGCTCACATCCACTGTTTGGTCTCTTTAAATGTGAAGCAAGCAGCAACTGAATGTGGGTGCCATTTTTCCCACGTGGGGGAATTCAGTTCCACCCCTGCTTCATACGCACTTCCATGTCAGACACAGTCTGTCCCGTGGCGACAAAATGTAGTGGGACATTGGTGGGAATGTTCAACCTCTACTGCCATACCAGCAACATGTACCTCTGGTGTCATGGGACAGTGTAACAAAATAGGAGCCATTACTTTTGGAGCAGCCTTCATACATGATGCTGTCAGTTTTCTGTGTTGTAGTACATTGCCCATATATTGAAAGGAACACAGTGTAACTGAGACACTGCAGTGCACTACATATCTCTGTCATCTCCCTGACAGCTCTGTGTAATAAATTACTTTTGCACACAGTCTGAATTCAGGGGACATGCTTTATCATGAATGACGTTTTTCATAGTAATACTGATGTGGGAAAAAATTTTAAAAAGTCATCAGCTTGTTAGCTTCTTATTTTCCTGTTAGTTGGAGGATTTTTGTCAGTTATGCTATACACGATTCCACAGTCTGTCAGAACTTGCAGAATTTCAGTTCTGTGTCTGGTGTGGACAGCTCTGGACAGCTGGGATGCTTTATCCAGGCCATTCTTCACTGCTGGGCAATGTGGTGGTGAGATGTGTTTCTTTTTTTTTTAAACATGAAGTGAGGTATGCAAAGAGATCAGAAGAACTAATATCAGTGAATTCAGAAGATAAGTCAGCAGTTGGGTAGGCAGGAGCACTTACTGTTCGGATGGAAAATAAGTTATCTCCTGCTTTCCCCAGTCATGGGAACATTTGATTGCAGTATTTAGTGACCCAGTTGAAAAACAAAACTAATTGTCTCATGACTGGCAGGGTTAAATGTGGAGGGAAAGCCTTTAGGAGGAAAAAATTGTTAACATACATAACGTTTATCTGTTTTGTTTAAAGTTCTGAACAACCTGTCAAAACAATTGCGAAGTCTTGCAGTGATCTCCTGCAGGCAGCAAATCAGAGAGGACTGGGGAGAGAGCTTATTGGATTCAGCTGCAGGTCTGGCTTGTGAACTGTTTCATAGCAGTTGCTGGGCAGAAGCTTGGTTAAATGATGGGTGAGCATTTGTTTCTATTCTGAAAGAAAAGAACAAACTTGCAAACTGCCTGGGATCTGTTTTTGGAATAGATATAATTAAAGAGAGTACTCTGTTACTAACAGTAAGTATTGATCTAAGTAATATTTTCAGAGATATTGCCAGCCATACTGAAATCAGCACGTAATACTTGGCTCCATGCATATAGATCTACATTTGATATCTGAGGACATCTAAGTAGGAATAGAACATAAAAGACAATCTTCCCTGTGCTACAGAAATTGAACGATGTTTGTTCTGAAAGCATTATAGATTATACACTGGAATTGTGACTATTATGAACAATTCCTAATATACTGTTATTTTATAGCTCATGAAAAATTTCCACTCGCAATGGCAAAGAGGAATGAATGTCCTCTTCAGGACAGCTGTCCTATAGAGGTCAGCTATGTAGAGGTCAGAACTGTGGTGAAGAGTGATTCCAACATATTGTTCAGTGACAAGCATTCTGCTTTTCAGAAACCTGTATTGGTGAATTCAGTGCATACTGAAAGGTATTTTGCAGTAATTTGTCAGTAGGCATCCTAAATGTATGCTCTGGGAGGAACAGATATATGGTCATGAAAATCATATCTTGAATATTACCAGTGCTAAATAAGTACTTTACAGTTCAAGCTGTTGAACTGCAAGATTATATGCTGTGTTAAGTGTGTGGCAGGTGTGTATGGGTTCTGCTTGTGAAATGTGACTTTTTGTTTGGAGTCACTGTAACTGCAGAGCTGCATTATGCATGCTATTCAGGTGCATATTAGCAGCATGGTGTTGATGATCTTGTTTAAAACATGCTCCAATTTTTACTCTTTGTGAGAGTTTTGAAATGTAGAGCTTTCCTGTATCCAGAAGGAAATAATTGACTTGTATGCACTTAAACTGACATAAGTGTCCTAAATAAAAGCACAGTTTTAGGCTTCACTCTGAAAGCATAGGCACAGGTGAAAAACAAACAGAAATCAACTGACCTAAGTGGGACAGCTCATCCCAACAGAATGGGTATTGCAGTGCTCAGATTTCTGCAAGAATAGCATCTCACTTGGCATCATTTTCAACACTTAGTGCTTTGCCTAGGCTTAGCTTTAAGGTGCCTGAACCTGATTTTGCCACATGAATTTTGAAAGCTCTGCTGCTAACTCTGGGCCTTCTAGCTAAGCTGAAAGAATTTGCCAGATGTCATTATTTAAATGCAGTTTTTTCAGAATAAAGGAAGTCACACTGTGAAAAGTAATGTCCTTGTAGAGACGGCATTGGGAAGAGTTGGGGGTGTTGCTCAGCCCCTCCAGCTCCGAATAAAAGTCAGAGGAGGGCTGCCTTTTTCCCAGAGTACCTTTATCAAGCCTTCACCTCCCAGGGGATGTGAAAATCAAGAGAATCAGAGTAAGAAAAACTAAACATACTGGGGAGAAACTGGTGAGGAGTAAAAAAAAATAAAATAAAAATCATGTTGACAAACAGTGTCAGCAAAGTTGTACGCATGTCAGGGGATTCTCGTTCTTGTCCTGAGCAGGCTGCCCTCAAACTTTGCTTTGCTGTTGTTATTCCGACTGAGTTTTGCACTAGCATTTCTGTACTAGCTTTTTCCTTGACCTGGGGTTGAAAAGGGAAGTTATAATCCCGGAAAATATTCTTATCTCTTTCTACTACTGCTGTTCTAACCTATCCCTGTTGTAACTTTTCCTTCTGTGTAAAGTAAGCTTTTATGGAAATGCAGAATCTCAGAATGTTACACAGGTGGCCGCTAGAGCAGATGAGAGCTTTGTATCCCTTGGGTCTGTAAGATGAATGTAGAAGTTCTCAGCAGGTAGCTGCATGTAGGATTTAGTAATCTGCTCTTTCTGAAATGTTTCTGTTGCCTCCCTTCAGCCTCGCAACGTTGCTGGTTTTCGAGGAACGGTCCGTTACGCTTCAGTGAACGCACATAAAAACCGAGTGAGTATTTCTGGGCTATGAAGGGTTAAACACGAGTTTATTTCTCCCCAGGAAATTGTTCTCGGGAGCAGAGGCTTAAAAGCTGTGAGTTCTGCTTTGTAGCCTATGTAAGTAAATCATCTGAATTCCATTAGGATGTCAAGACTGTTTTCTGTAAAATCAAAATTATGATTCAGTTATTGAATCCTCTCAAGTTGGTAAACTTCGTGATTTTCATTATTGCATTACTGGACACTGATTAAGAGGAAAAAACTCCCACTGATGCAGTTACCAGTGTTACCTTACAGCCTGCTCACTAATTTCCAGCACTACTTGACTGTGAGACGAGTGCCAGGTCCTCACATCCATTTTCCCCCTGGAATTTTGGATTTTAGCAGCATGCCCTCAAATGAAAAGTTACTTAGTGGAACTCAAGTTTACTTTTTTTTTTTCCTGAAGATAACCATTATTTCCAGAGGATCTGACACGTTTCATTCTGAACACTTCCAGAAATCTCATCCACCATTTTTCTCAAAACATTCTTGTCCTATGTCAGTAATGCTTCCTATGTAGAAGTGAACTGTAAGTCCTCTGGTCCTGCTGCAAAGTGCTTGCCAGATGAGAATTATCAGCCCTCCTCCAGCTTTCCAGCATCCTAACTGCTGTCGCTTTTTGAGGCAGTGTGTTTGTAAATGTAAATTGGTATTGAATACATTAATATTCAGCATTGATAGTTCTAATCATTGCAGTATTCTATACGTGGTGGAAGTCATCTTGGAGTTTTTGCTTACAGTCTTGTTATGACAGACTGAGTCAGTGGCTCAGCCATTTGCAGACCTATAATAAATAGGTCTAGCAGGATGCTGTTACCTAAAGAGTGTTTTTATTCGCCTCATCCTCTGCCCTTGTCATAAGCACCATATTCCCATACCTTTTCCCATAGTGATCCTGGCACTTGAACTTTCATCTGAAAGAGTATTTGCTATATACAGCATACATACGTACATATGTGTGTATGTGTTTTACATATGTATGTACCAACACACAGGTATATATAAAAACATAGGGGTTGAAGGAAAAAAAAAAACCAACCATCTGCTTTAGTTTTCTGCTTGCAAAGAGGTCCTACAAGTGCCTGACCTGGTGCAAACTAAGATATATTGTCTCTGTGATATATAATCTTTCCTGATTCTCATTTTTCTAGTATGTGCTGGAAAGTATTTGTGATAGAGGGCCATACTGAAAACAAAGCACCCCGTAATTAGGAAATAAATAAAGATAAAGCTTTTTCCAAATAGTTTACTCTGGGCTTCTGGGAGACGTGGTTCTTCAGATTCCTTTGATATGTCAGAGAATTCTATTCCTACTTACAAAGTGCTTCTGTAATTAGCGTGGCCCAGAGCTCACTGTTCTTAGAATCTCCCCTGTAAGACGTCATTCATTGCCAAAGGTGGAAAGAGTGATACAGGGTGGGCAGCTGAATGCCATAATGTTTTCTGATGGATACTGATAAAACTGAAGTATGATTTTGGGAATTTTCAGCTGTAGCTGATGTCAGCTGAAGTTCTATTTAGACACAGACATTGCTGCTTAATGCATGCTGTTCTGAGAGATCGTAGTCTGGATATTGTATGTTGAGCACCAAAAACAAATTCATGTGTTTTATGTTTCAATTTCCCATTTGCTAGACCAGAAGCAGGGTGGTATGGGGAGAATCTGGAAGTTGTTGTGGTGCTTGATTATGAGAGTTTTAAAAAAAGCCCTTGAGTAAATGCTGTCTTTTGAAAAGAGTCGGAATGGTACTTTACTTAAAAACAATGATAAAGACTTTCTCTACACTGTTTGGGTTTTTTTTCTTTATCTAGTTTGTTCTATATCCTCTTAATAAATATTCTGTATGCTAAGTGAAGGAGAATCCTGTGGAAAACTGTTCCGCAATGTATTCAAAAGTAGAACAAATGAAGTTATTCAGGCGACTGTGTTGACATTGCCCAGTTTAGTAAATGCTTGATTTTGCATCATAAATCTTTAATCTGGCTTCTTTAATCATGTAATGGGAAGTATGACTTCTCTCCCTGCTTTTTAAAATGAGGTAGCTCATCTGGAGAGCACATCTGGACCACTGAGCAGCATGGAACTTTGCTCCTCAGTCTTCGTCTCTCTTTTCTCCAGGAGATGGGTAGGCATGATGATCTGTGGTCCCTCTTCTACATGTTGGTGGAGTTTGCAGTTGGTCAGCTTCCATGGAGAAAGATCAAAGATAAGGTAAGAAACTTAGCATCTATACTTGAGACAGGGTGCTCCCTTTTTGTTAATAGCACTCGTACTATTCCTGTTTTTCATCAGATCTTGCTGCTGGATGCTGATCTGCTTTTGTGTTCTGTCACACGCCAGTGTGGAGTTTGCCTTATGTGGGATGCACGTTGTTAATCATATTGGATCAAGCAATTTTGATCTTACAAAGCAAATAACAAAAGTGGAAAGGCTGAATATGAGCTGTCCTTTTTACAAAAAAGCAGAGCCTTTAGAAAGGAGTAAGGATAACACTGGCATGGAATGCAAGCCAAATGGGAATTGCAACTGGAAAATTGAGTAACTGTTCATGTTACAATGAAAATAATTCATCCTTGAGAACGAAGTCCCTGGGAAGAAATATGTTACCTGTGCAGTAGATTCTGCTAAAGGGACAGCTTCTGAAGAGTGCTTCTGACTTAGGATTCTCCTTTGGCCTTTTTCTGCAGTGATCTACCTTCCTGTGCTAGGGATATCAAAACAAAGTGTCTAGCCAAAATGCTGCTTCTACGAATCAGCTGTGTTTTGGGAATGACAAGACTGGACGGTGTTTCAGGAATTGTAAGACAGAGGAAGTCTGAATGGGATGCCATGATTCTTGGATCTGAGATATTTTATGTTTTCCAGGAGCAAGTTGGCATGATAAAAGAAAAGTATGAACATCGAATGCTGTTAAAACACATGCCTTCAGAGTTCCACCTTTTTCTGGATCATATTGCAAGCTTAGACTACTTCACCAAGCCAGACTATCAGGTAGGAGCCTGTCTTTGTTGCCACACTAATGCATGACACAATGGATTGGTATTTGCTTTTTCCAATTTTTCCAGACATATGTTTATATCTGACTGATGAACACCTTCCTAGAACCAGGAGGAAAGGATTCTTACATTCTGTACCATCCTTCAGCATCTCAAAACTTTCTTCTCCTTCTTGCCCGCTCAGCCCAAAATAATCCCTTTACTCCAGAACAGAAAGCTTTTCCCAAAGCAGCAGTTTGCATTAAAGCACAAAGGTTGTGAGATAGTCCAAGCATGGCAAAATTTTAGTGCAGCTTGTCAAATTCTGCAAAGAGCTTCTGCCACCAGCTAAATGGTGCACACCAACCCTTTTAGTTTCTTGCAGATCCATGTGAGCCTTAACTCTTGAGGATCTTTCTTGAATATTCATCTTAACATTTTTTCTCCCATGCCGTGTTTGCTATTAGCTTGTATGTGATCAATTACAGTAGTTAACTAACACAATGTAAATGAAGCAGCTTGACTCTGTTTCCCTTTTTCGTCACAGTGCTTTCCACATTAAAGCCAAAGCGATGAAAACATGATTTTATTAGCAAACCTGTGTAGTCTTATGTGAGTGACTGCTCCTGCTGATGAGTGGGAAGATGTGCTTTTGTATGTTAGCTATGGACTTGTTCAGCATAGCAACCACAACTCTTTTCTTTTAGGTTTATTTGGGAATAAAAACCAGACACCTTCTCGATAGTACAGTGGAAGTGTAACATTCGCAACCGAAGTGGGGAGCTGGAAAGCAGTGATGGTGGACTGAGAAGAGGCTGAGGGGGCTGGGTTTCTTTAGATCTTTAGAAAGTGCAAGAGGAGATCTAATTGTTGTTTTCCACTATTATCAGGGGCTGCAGGGAGAAGAGAGGCAGAGAGGCAGATTTTTCTCAGAGGCATACAGTGAGAGGCAGCAAGCGGAAGTCACATCTAGGGATACTGGGGTTAGTTCTAGGGGGAAAATCAGAATGAGGGTTGTTATGTGTGAGTCAGATACTTAGACAGTCTCCATCCTTAGAGATTTCCAGAAGTCAATCGAATCAAGACCCTGAGGCACCAGATCTGACTTTGTAATTAGCCCTGGTTTGAGCAGATGGCTGGATTAGTGATCTTCAAAGCTCCTTTTGAATCTATATCCTCCTATCGTTCTATTCCAGTGTAAAATAACCGTACTGTATTGAAAAGCCATCCTTGAGATGGAAGTGAAAGGGGATTTTTCCGGACCATTTTAGTGCACTCCAAATCATGAACAGCTTTTTCTCAGTTGGGGATTTGTCTTGAAGCTGTGAATTGCCTCTTTGCCCTCAGCTTCTTGCAGGTGCAGCTCTGGAAGGAAGCCTACAAAAAGAACTCTCCACATAAATCTGGCACCTGCAGCTCAGCACCGAACAGTGATTCTTCTAGCTTGACTGGAGGCATAATCCAGCCAGCAAATTCTCCAAACATCTCAGCTTCAGAGATGTCCTTTGCATTCTTTTATCTGGTTTTATTACTGAGAAAAATGTAAAAGCATATCAGATGGCATCTGAGTTTGATGCCAGTAGCAGGCTCTCAAAGAAGTTAAGGAATTGGGCAAAGATGTCTATTCAGATATGAAGTCGTGGTTTATTTACAATGTGGAATGATCAGAAATAAGGAAACAGAATAAAATACGTATGAATATAATGTTACTGTTTCTCTCCTTAACTTTTGAATATATTTCAATCTTGGTATACATACTAATCACCTGGTAAGGATCAGGATTCTGAAGGCTGTCCAACAGCTGGACAGGCTTGGTTTTGTAGCTGTTCAGTTCTGGTCAGTCTCCAGGTTAGTCTCTGAGAGAAATTTCTGTGAAAGTCCAACTGCTTTGATTGGAGATGGTGTTTTTCTGGCCTTGTAGCATGTCTCCAACAGTACTGGGTGTTGGAAGATAATAAAAGAACAATCATTCAGTGATGTTTTTTCCAGAAAATTCTCCAAGCTTGAAAATCAGGGACCTTTGAGGCTTAAGAGTCACCCCATCCAAATATGTCTGCTTCTTTTAGTTCTCAATGAATCTGTGTTTCTTCAACTTGTCCTGTCTCATCCTGGACTTATGTAACCCTTTAGCATCCACCATGTTGTGTGACAGAAATGATCCATGGCTTAAGTGCTTACTGCTTGAAGGGCTACATCTTTCTGCTTATTCTAAACTTGCCACCTGCTAGTTGCAAGTGCCTTTCTTAAGAGACTTTACATCGTGGACAGAACTGTGAGCACTGGGTTCCTACCTCCTCTCCTAGGTCTTGTAGACCTCCATGGTGTAGCTTTGCAATTCAAAACTATTTAGTTGCACAGAAGGAAATCTTTCCACACCTTTGATCCAGTAGCATGAAGTTCTGGTAGAATCCTTCCTCTCACCTCCATCATTATGAAGTGGGGAATGATGCATAAACTCTGTGTGTGAGCCTCCAATTACCAGATCATTCTGTCTGCTCCTTTCTTCTTCACTGTCTGGAAGCTGATGTATTGTCTCTCTGCCTTCTCCTGATGTATGTCTTCTGGCTTTACAGCATGCTGCGTATCATAGGATGCTTTTGGCTTTATTAAGAGGCCAAGCAAAACATGAGTGTAAGAAGAGCCATATTGGGTCAGTCCTTTTCTTGTTCCTCTGTAACTGAAGAGAGATGCATGGGCTTGACTGCTGCTGTGTGCTCCTTGCTCTCAGTTGTCCATTCTATGAAGTCTACAGTCTTTATCTGCAGCTTAGCTGCTCTCAGCATCTGGAATTGTCTACGTAGGCAAATGCCAGCAGGAAGGGGAGAGTGGTAAAATATCTGTAGAGTGATAAAACACCTGTAGCCCTCACCACCATCTTGCAGCACCCATGAAAGAAAAACCAACTGCATCTCCTATTTATGCATGATTTTTATCAACATTACAGGAACAATGTTTTAGGGGTAGAAGGCTATGTGGATACTTCAAATCAGTCATCCTTGCCTTTTTTTCCCCATACCATCCCTTCTCCCTATTGTTGGGTTTTTATTGGGTAAAAAAAAAAAAGAGAAACACTACTTACCTTTCAGCTGTACTTCTCTCCCTCCAACTCCCCCTTAATCTAACTTGTGGCTTTTTGTCTGTGTGAATTCTTCCAGTTCTGTAATTTTTCTCCCTGTACCTTTGTCCCTATGTGATTTTTTTTTTCTCTGTGTGTTAGGCAACGTTTGTCTTCCTTTGCCTTAACCACACTTCTGTCTTTCCCCTACAAGCTCTGAGTGCTTTCTGCACCTCCTGACCATGCACTTAGGCAACTGCTCCCACACAAAGATTGAAATCCTCTTTTTATGCACCCAGCATTACTACAGTCCTTACCACTTCCTATTTTAGCACCTAGCCAGGGAATCTTTCTCACCTTGAAGAGAAATGTTGTCATCTGAGTTTTTCTGGGGAAGTTCTGCCCTCCTTTAGCTGGACCTGGCTGAAGATGGAGCCTCAGGATAGAGAGCACTGAGGTATGCAAAGAGCATGAGAGAGCCCTCTCCCACTGTCCGTGTTTCTCAAAATGGACTCTACCTCTAAGGACAGTATCTGCAGAGGCCCTCAGGTAGGAAACAACTTCTGTGGTCATGGAGAGGACCAGTCTCACTGCTGTTCTCTCCTTCTGTCCTTCCATTATATACAGTCTGTTGTGTCTGTATGATAAATACAGATTGCAGGCTGATGTATATACATCTGTTCAAAAGGGAAATATTTCTCTAAACATTGGAGAAAGGTACAATTACATTTGCAGTTGCCTCAATAAGAACATCCAGGATGGGGTGAAAGTCTGATAACAAAGGTGGAGGTAGTCAGGAAAAGCAGCTTTCTTTGTTGACTTCTCTCTGATCTGACTTTGAAACTGGATCTGATTTCAAGGTTAGCAATGCTTTGAATACAGATTGGACTGTCTGAAATCCCTTGCTAATCAAAGCTATTGAATTTCAGCCTTCTGTATATGTAGCATCTCCTGCTTGAGGCTCTTGCTGCACCCCTTAGCTGAAATCCAGTATAACTGAGGGATCACTTGTCATCTTCCTTCTTAGCAGAAAGAAACTCAGTGTGGGAGGCCTGCAGTGACTATAGAGGCTACTCTGATTCCTGGTGGTATCTTGCACGCAGACAGAAAAACCCTAGATATAGTAACTCTTTGCATGACTTCTGAAAGCACTGGTTAGAAAAGAATGGTTTCATTGGAAAGAACCTACACAGATCATAAAGTCCAGCTGCTTTGTATAGTTTCAGAGCTATCCAAAAGTTAATGTACTGGTAAGAGCATTATCCATAAGGTTCTTGATCACTGACTGGGGCATCAACCATTGAGACTGACACAGTGGCTGACCACTCTCATGGTACAGAAATGTTTCCTGCCCAGTCTGACCTTGCCCTGGTACAGCTCTGTGCTGTTCCTTTTCTGCCATTGGTTTCCAGGAGCAGAGCCTGGCATCTCCCTCTGCTTCCCCTCCTCAGGGAGCTGCAGGGAGCAGTGAGGTCACCTCTTCACCTCCTCTTCCCCAGTCTGGGCAACCCGAATGTCCTCAGCCTCTCTGTATAGGGTATGCCTTCCCATTCTGTTAGCAGCTTTCTTGCCCTGCTCTGAGCTCTTTCAAGGATCTTAACATCCTTTTCATATTGTGGAGCCCAGAACTGCACACAGTATTTAAGGTGAAGCCAAACCAATCCTGAATAGTGAGAGAATCACCCCTTTTGAGGTTGGTGTTGAAACTGTTCTGTGCCCTCCATTTTCCTGCTAATAAAGCTTTGAACTTTCTTCAGGAATAGAAAAGGTTTAGAAAGGCTGAGAGTGATCAGCACGACCATGGAATAGCTTTAGAACAGTGACAGCTAAGGATACCAGTATTGGGGGGAAAAAAAGAAAAACATAAAAAAAAAAACTATTGGGAGTGCAATAGATGCCTGTAAAATCCCAAATAGCCTGCAAAGTTATTTGCAACTTTTAGTAGAAGAAGCTATAACAGAAACTAACAAAAATTGTTTTGGCTCAGTTGGGGCCTTGAAGGTGTGAGGAAATGATAAGAATTCACTCCTGCTTTTAGCATGTGATATCTTACTTCAGACTGCTTCAGTATCAAAGCAGTGGAAGGTAAGGAAAGTGGTACTGGTTCTTAAGTGGCTTCAAAAATGCCTGTCCCTGGCACTGACATGTACATCACAAATAATCAGGAATATAGTAAAGACCCCAGGGTTAGAGGACAGATGAGCGAGAGTAATGTAATGCTAGTTAGTATGGCTTTTATAAGGGCAGTCTGCCTGCTGATGTGTAGAGTTCTTGGAAGGAGTTTTTGAGCCTGTGGGCAAAGGCTCTATAAATCGTGCTTTAATGGTAATTTCTAAAAGACATCAGGCAGACCTTGCTAGGTTCCTAGTCAAACTAAGCTCACTAGGAATAGCAGGGAAGCTTCTCAGATGAATAAACAGACAGTTAACAAGTGAGAAGTGAAAAGCCATTTAAAGGAGGTTACTGGTGTAATTAACAGAGCCCTGGGTTTGAACCAGGTTCTTCCAAATGGTCAGAAAATCGTTTGGAAAAGAGAGTAAATACCAAAGTGATGAGTGTCACACATACCAGTTGTCCTAAATAACAAAGAAAGACTGTTGACTTAATGGAAATGAATGGGTAAGAAAATAGCAGATGAAATTCAATGTAGGTAAATGTCTCATATTGTGTATGTAGAAAAGGAATGTGAATCTAACCTCTGTGCTGGGCTTCGTCTTGGCATTAGAAGAGATTGTTCTGGGAGAGCTTATACTCAGTGCTCAGTAACACTCAGAAAGCAAACAAAACCATAAGGACAATTGCAAGTACTATTAGAAGATAAACATGTGAATCTGTACGATGCATATTTCTTAAGTACTGTTTATACTTCTGTACCTGAATCATAACAAGGATAAATTTAAATGAGGGAAAGTGTAGTGGGGAGGGGGTAACAAGGAACTACAGATGCATCGGCTCCGAGATACAGAAAGATGAAGTAGACTAGGACAGCACATTCTGCAAATGAGAGGACTGACATGTACATGACATCTTTAAAATCAAAAGTAGAACTGCAAAAAATTGTTTTCTGCTTTTTCTAACATGAAAATGAGAAACTGCCATATGAAGTTAGCAGATGGCAAATTTAAATGAACAAAACAAATAGTTCACGTCATTGGTGAATTCTTTGCCATGAGATCTGTGTAGTTCAGAAGCTTATGTATTCAATAAGTAACAGGACAGATTCATGAGAAGATGTCCAAGGTTACTAAATACCAGAAATGCATTTACTAAATAGCAAAAATTACTCTTTATTTGCTTACATTCAGTTTTGAGCAAGTTCCATGTCAACAATAGCAGCACAAGTCCTGTTTCTATCAAAGGTGAAAGGAAGTATCATGAGATGAGGCTAACAGAAATGCAATCCTACCATATTGAACTGTCACAACATTAACATCCCTTTCTGAGCAAAGGAGTTGCTACATCTGCCATGTCACATCCTGTCTGTCTCTTCTCTCTAGAGAGGTGTTACCTGTCCCCTGGTCTGACAGCTCTGAGAATTCTTTCTCAAAATGCAGTGCCACTGCAGGAGTAGAGCTACAGTGATTCTTTGCTTCTGGGCCACAAAGGAAGAAGATGACTTAACTGAAAGCTGCAGATAGGGTGTTTTGGTTGGTTTTTTTTTTGCAGTGATCCAGAGGTAGTAGGAAATGGCAAATTCTCATTGCCTTCATGCAGAATGTTTTCTGATCATGCTGCTAAAAACAACTGGAATTGAAGTGAAGAAATAGGCATTTAATCTATGGTAATGTTTATTCATGTCCTGGCGTTGACATCGCATTCCCTTGGGTAATGCTTTGCTGCACAGAACACTTTGCCTGTAGCTTCATTTTTCTCCTGAAGAAATTGGTTCTCAGAAGTGGACAAGCATAAACCATGTGAACATGTGCATTTGTACCTGCAGTCTTTTAAAGAAAATAATTTAGTCACTTTTACTGTTTGTTTGTTTTCTGCAGCCCGGTGTGGCTGTTGCCACTGTGCATAAGCATATCACTGAGCTCCTGCCTAAGCTGTATTTAAGCCAGATGTTGCAGCAAGTCTGCATTCTGGAGCTGGAGCTTTGCTGTTGTGTCCATGTCTTCTGGTGGGCCTTGAACTCTGTAACACAAGTACCATTTTTCCTATGTCTAGTCTACAGCTAGCTGAAATTCAGGCTTTATATTTAGAGTGACCAACCAACTACAACATTTAGCCAGATCAGTGTCTAAATTATATGTGTAGTGTGGTAGATTTAAAGAAATTTCAGTTACCAAGCTAAAAACAGCCTAGGAAACAGCTAGTGTGATTCTGTGACATTTGCTTTTCATTCCTTGGTACCTTCTACAGGCAAGATGCTCTTGAACCTCATCATCATAGCTCATTATCGTTTTTTGTATGAAAGCTTCTCTCAGCCAACTTATTCTTAGAATAAATTGTTTTTGTAAATTTATTCCAGCTAATCATGTCCGTGTTTGAGAACAGTATGAAAGAAAGAGGCATCACTGAAAATGAAGCTTTTGACTGGGAGAAGGCTGGTACAGATGTCTTGTTGTCCACTAGCACTTCTACTCCACCACAGCAAAACACCAGGCAAACAGCAGCCATGTTTGGGTGAGTATGCAGTCATGCCAGTCAGACCAAGGGCCTGCTCACTAACAAGTTAATCACTGAAAGATTCAAAGGCTGTTGTGATCCTGAATGGTAGGAACCTACATGGCATGGTTTGACTTCAGGCATATTAGTAGAAAACACGTTTTGTACTTTGGATGAGTCTGTTGGTTTAAGTTACATTAAGGAATGCCTTTGACTGGGATTAATGGAACCTGTATGCCATACTGTATGACACACACAGCTGGCGCTTCTCTAAAAGTGCTTACAGAAACACAGCTGTTCTGCTATGGAATGGGTTTGTGGTGTAGAGCTGAACTCATCAGATGCATGCTGCCTGTGCCTACTTCGTGGCTCCCCAGCCCTCACAGGGTTTTTCATTTGCTGGTGCAGCAGTACAAGAAACTTGTTGCTCAGAGTTGGAAGTCAGTCCGGATGGTGAGCTGTGGTCTGTTCTGTGCTTTTGAAGGAGTAATAATCCATAATAATATTACTGAGGATAGAAACTGTAAAGCCTATCAAGCCTCATTGTCTCATGGACAGATGGGTGGTTTTTAAGCTAAGTACTTTGTAATGTGCACTCCTGAACTTCTGAAGAAGTTTGCAGCCTGGGAATTGAATGTCCCCAAATGCTTTCACACATCCGTTCCATCTTTGTGACTGTATACTAGGTGGAATGTTCTGATCTGTTTCATATCATAATACCTGTGTTTGGGTTTTTTTTTTCAACCAGAAATACATTAAAAACTACTAAGGAATTTCTGTGGAGCAGTGTGATAGGCCACATTCTTTAATTACTGTTACCTTTCTTGTTTTTTTTCCGTAGGGTGGTTAATGTCACTCCAGTACCAGGAGATTTGCTTCGTGAGAACACCGAGGACGTCCTGCAGGGTGAACATCTGAGTGATCAAGAGAATGCTCCTCCCATCCTGTCAGGCCGGCCAGCAGAAGGTCTTGGCCAGACACCAAACACTGCTTTCAATGAGGCTGAAGTTTGGGAAGAGACGGATGTGAATCGCAACAAACTCAGGATCAGCATCAGCAAAGTAAAGAGCATATGTTTATTTCTTGTGGCTTCTGGTCTGAGGGCAGTGAATTCACAGACTGCTGTAAGCAACCTGGATCCATTGCTGTAACATCCTACGTAGCACAGAACAAACAGCACCAGGAATTTCTCTGTGGAAGTGGGGAATAACAGTTTTTTTCAGAGTGAAAGCCATTGGAATTAATTTGGATCTTTATGCAAAAATACGTTGTGAACCCAATAACGCTAGAGTGAATCATTCATGTGACCACTACGTTGTGATGTAGCATCTTGGTACTTCAAGCAGTGGCGGTCTGGTCCTTCAGTAGCTGATACAGTATCAGAAATATCCCAATTTTGGAAATTATAAGCCAAAATTTTACTGCATCCCAATCTCTTGGGCAAATAAATTTGATCTGAGGTGCCCTATTGTCCTGGATCTTAATTAATCACTGATTGAATTTGTCTTCCAGTTGTTTAACTGTCCTTTCTATGGGGTAGCACAGTCTATGAATGGCATATTGGTTCGTGCTTGTGAAGAGAAAGCAGACTCAGTATTTTTGCATTTTTGCCTTCCAAGGTCGTATTAGGCTTTGTAGCCTTCATTACATGTACACTGCAGTTGGTTTTCCTTATAATCCTTAAGCTATTTCTTCTTGTTCTTTCTTGTAGAAGATTCTTCTTGTAGAAGAATCCTTAAGCTAGTTCTTTCTTGTAGAAGTGACTGGATGATGAATTCATTGTGTTATTTGAGGGTTTACCAGTTCATTTATTTATTAGATCAATTTACATATTGTAAGTAAACTAGCGTTTGTTGTGTTGATCTCAATCCTTATTTCAGAATCAGAACATCACATGGAATGATACCAAATACAAACAAAATCTGTCACCAGAGAAACCTGCATTGGCAGGCAAACTGTCAGCAGACAGATATTGGCAGAGTAGCATTAATTATATGGTAAAGCTACCAGCCTGCTGGGTCTGACCAGAATTTATTTCAGTCTGTACACAGACAGGAAGTTAGTCCTTTCTTCAGCCCTTCCCACAGATATCTGTGCTGTCCTGAATCTTACTAGGAGAGATTATTTTAAGACCAGAAAGCCTCTCATCTAACTTACTTAATGTTCTCCAGTGTGTCCAATTTGGATCAATGTGTTATTAGTATGAAACGTTACCTGAAGAGTTCCTCAATACTGAGAATTATAAATGAAGTTCATATCACTTCTTCATCTGTCTCTGGTAAATTGTGTGTGTGTATTTGCAGAAGTTCTCATCTGAAGGCACATGGAATAAGAAAAGCTTGATAGAGCAAGGCCTTTCTTTTTCCACAAGTTACAAAAACAAAAAAAATGATGCACAGAAATCCTGGTAATTCCTGTCTGTTCTTTTGTTCCTTTGAGTCACCAGGTGCCTTGATGCTCTTCAGTCAGACCAAGATGCGTGCAGGGGAGTCCTAACTGTCCTTTCCTCATGCTAGTTGTATGCTGTGTCTAGGTACTCAGTACTGTCATTCACAGGGCTGTCATAACAGCAGCTAGAGGCGGAAGAGGATTTTACAAGATCCACAGCACAACCAGGTGACTCTCCTGCTAAGGGCTGTGCTATTTCTTATCAGTTTACTGGCAGAGCAGGTCAGAGGAGTCAGCATGACAGTGAGTGCTTCAGTTCTGACAAGCTGAGTGGATACACAGCAGTGAGTAGAACAGAGCTGAGGACGTTATGCTTTCCAAAGCAGAAGTCTGGCCTTTCTGTCAGCAAGGGTTATCTTTAGTCTGACTCTTGCCTGTCCTTTCTCTCTGCTAGGGCTGTTCTCTTTGCTTTGATTGTTCTCTGATAAGGAGTCAGTTTTCATTGAAGTCACAACCACCACAAGGAGAAATAAGAGGCTGCAGATTTGATCTGTAGGGATGAAGCTTCACCTCTCCTTGCAATCTCAGGCATACTGTGTGTCTTTCAGAATAACATAGGCAGCTGGTTGGTAAAACACCTTTCTATTCCCAGCTTCAACATCTTTATTTTCCAGCTTTGTGGAACTAGAATTAGCTCTCACTGTCCCTGTCTGGCTCTTTGTTTTTAGGCAATGAATAAATCTTACTGTCTTTTGTTCTTCCCAGTACTTTCCCAGGATGTACTAAGGAGAATCTCTGTTCACATGGTTCAGATCTTGTTCTGTCCCTTTTCTCTCCTTTCTCCGCTGAGGGTTTTCTTGCTCCTTGTCACAGAGAAAGGTTCTTCTTTCACTTTGGATCAAAGTTCTCATTCTTTGTTGTTTGTTTGTGGGTTTTTTTTCAGAAGTTTTTTCTTTCTCTCTTGCACTTCCTCCCAGTTCTCTGCTCTTGGATCTTGCCAAGTTGCTTGTTTTCCTGCAAGTACAATATCAGTATTTTGTTCCCCCCCCAAAGATATTTGTCACCATCCTTGAAATTGACTTAGTCGTATCACGTCCATCCAAAGTAGTAGTATATACATTTAATATAATGCATGATATAAGCAAAAATGTAGATTTTGTACATGTTTGCTTTGCTTTTGGACACCATAGATTAACAGAATTTGTGTTTGCAGTACTTTAGTCCATGATAATTCCAGGGTAATTGAAAGGCAAAGGCCCTCTTGTAGAGGTGTTTAAATATTTGAATTGATGTAAAATCCATTCCTTGTTTTAATATTGGATAATTGCCAGGCCGTGTGGGGCCTTGTGTTACTTCATAGGTTGTTTCTGTAGCTAAAACTGTGTCTTGGAAGAGTGCACAGAGTAACAGTGAAGGATGAGAAATCAAAGTCTGTGATTGGTTTTCACCATTCTTGGTGTTTATTCCCTGCAGACTCAGTGCATGGTGGAAGAAGATCAGAGAAATGGGGTCTGTCCCAGCTCCCCTGTCCGAGTGCCTCCAGAGTCCCCTACCGCACAGGCGCGCTCCCTGCGATATCGCCGTGTGAACAGCCCTGAGTCCGAACGCCTCTCTACAGCTGACGGCAAAGCAGATCTACATGAAAGAAGGTTTGCTTACCCTCTGTAACCTCCTGCTACATGTAGCAATGCCTCGATTGACTGTTGAGACCAACCTGATCGTTAGATAAAGGGGCACTGAAAGGAGGAGTCGGTGCCTGTGGGCTTTGCAGCCTTTGTGATGAGATGTTCTTGTCTGTTAATAAGGCCTGTTAGTGGGAAGGGTTCTGGGTGGGAATAAAGTAAAGAGTGGGACGTTTGGTGGAGAAAAAGCAAAGTGTTAGACCAGAAATGAAGTTAATAGTCCTAAAGCTTTTTGCTGACCTTAGGTGGGAGGGAAGAATGGATCTAGTTAGGATACATACGGAGATGCATGTATTTTAAGAGCTAGCTGATGGATTCTCATCTGGAGAGTTTCATTATTTCATTTGTCCAGAGTTGTGGTGGAAGCCCCATCCCTGGAGACATCTGAGGTCAGGCTGGATGGGGCTCTGAGCACCTGATGGAGCCGGAGGTGTCCCTGTTCATTGCAGGGGAGCTGGACTAGATGGCCTTCAGGGATCCCTTCCAACTCAAATGATTCTATGAGCATTATTTTTCAATAATAACAGTCATCATCCTCATCATTTTCAGCATATAACATTACATTTGTTTACTTTTGTAAAGCATTGCATCCAGAATGCAGAGCCTGATTTTGAGGCTTGTAGATGTACTTATCTCAGATCCACAGTGAAGAAATGTCCAAGAAGCACAGAATAATAAAAATAATTAAAATAAGCAGTTTAAAGTATTATGGCTGAGAAATGCAGGTTATGAGTTATAGACTTCTGATGCTGATAACCCTCTTCATACTCTTCATTAATCCCTCCCTCTTCCTCTTACAATTGAAAGTCAGAACATGGACTGTGGTTACAGATCTTACTGACAAAATGACCCCTGTAAAACAGGTAGGGAAGGGACAAGATTCTTCTGTCAGAGAAAACCTAGCAGAGTTCAGCTAGAAAGAAGAGTCACAGGGAGGCACAAGCTGGAAATGAGGAAGGGCATAAAAGAACTAGAGAGAGGATGAGCCCCTAGTATTACCTCCAGTTTATTAGGTACTGGTTTATTCTGCGTGGATGGAGGAAGCTGTAATACTTGTCTGTATTTCAGAAATGATTGTGTGTATTAGTAATTTGGAGATTGAAAAGCAAATCTTGGTTCTGGTTAACTTCTTTCTTTTCTTGTTCTCTTTAAAATAAGAAAGGAAAAAAGCCATTTATAGTAGTCAGCAGCACTACTCTTGTACGTTCACCGAAAGGTTTTAACTCCTTCCTCTATTTCTCCTGTTCTTCCCTATCTTTTCAGCATCATGCTGTCTTAATGTAGGAAATGTGTAATACCCAGGAGGCATCTCTTTCAGCTGTCCTCTTTCCTCAGCCCATATTTTTAAAACAAAAATCTGTTTGTCATCTTCCAAGTAGCCTCCCTTAGCATGGTGCAAGTATTGTCCCCCTCTGCCACAGCCTTCTATTTATTCTTCTCTCTCCTTTTCACAGTAGAGACATGACTTGCAGCACTTCCTCTGGATTCCTGGAGTAAATTCTTTCACTCCAGGAGTCTCTCCTCTGCTGGGGAAAGGAGAGGCGCATTGATTCAATCCCATCAGCTTCTTTTTTTTTTTCCTTTTTTTTAGTAAGAGCACATTAATATGCATTTTTTGACGCACATGCAGTGTGAGAGGGCTATTGTTCAGTCTTACCTTGTCTAAGTCTTCCCTGTTCACAGTAATATACTTTGTTTGTAAGTATTTAACAAAAGCACCCTTACTTCTTTCAGATCCATCAGGTGGTTTATGCTGAGGTCTTTGTTTTCCCATACTTCGTTCTCTATATGAGCCCTTGATTCACCACCTTCCCTGATTCCTGTTTCTTCATCAAAAATTGCTCATTTTGACTTGTAATTCCTTCTTGTCTCATCTCTGACCTTCCATTGAGCCAAAGACACTCAGCTCTGCTTAGTAGCCCTCACCCTGTGGTCAATCATCTTTGTGTTTTCCCTTGAAGATTTTTCCCCAGAAGAGCACACAAGACCTCTGTATGGTCCTTGTTGAAATCGCTTTGTAACAAAACACTGCAAGTGTCTTTTTCTGGGCATCAGACATTGTGACTGTGCAACAAGCTGCCAGCCTCTGCAGTAGTCAGAGCTGAATAGGGAGGGAAAGGGAGCAGCAGGTGCAGGCCAAATGAGAAGCATGGACCATAACACTGTGGAACAGAAAGACAGAAGTGCCTTTGGTTTTTCCAGCTGAGATGATGCCAAGGCTGTCGGGGCACAGGGAACTTCCAGGGCTTGTTTGAAAGGTATTTCTGCATGGCTGCATAGCTGCATTGATGCTATTTAGATTGTGAGTCACTGAACATTATACTGCCCTTTGTCAATGCATATGTGACATGTTTCCTTCCTGCTCCTCCAAATTATTTTGAGGTCACCTACGCCTTGTAACATTTCAGTGAGATTTTCCTGCTGTCTTCAAAGAGCTCACATAGCCACCGCAGAGACCTCAATGGCCACCTTAGAGAGCACAGTGCAACTGAAGGGGTATAGGAGCCCAGCAATGACATTAAGTCAGACAGTAGATTTAAGTTGTTTTGGATTTTTGTTTTTTGATTTTTTTACAAACCAGTAGGAATTCCTAATGGGGAAGGAGTATTTTGGTGTTGTGGAAGAAAACTGGTTGGAATCTTGCCAGCTATAAGGAAGAGAGTTGATGAAATGGGTGGCTATCATACAGAATTACTTTAGGAGGAGTGTCTCTGCTACTGTAGGTTCTAAATAAATGTTTTTGCCTAAGCCCATCTTTCTAAAGTACAGTAAGAAAGGAGTGAGAGCTATAGGGTTTCTTTTCTCAGCTCATATGCTCCCTAACCACAAACATGACTTATTTTTAATGGCTTCGTGTTCTGTCTTTAGATCACGAATGGATTTGCCTGGCTCTCCATCACGGCTTGTGTGCTCCTCCCAGCCAGCCCAGATGCTGTCCATTGACACTGGCCAGGCTGACCGGCAGGCAAGCGGTCGGATGGATGTGTCTGCTTCAGTGGAACATGAAGCCCTCAGCAATGCTTTCCGCTCAGTGCCGCTTGCGGAGGAGGAGGACTTTGATAGCAAGGAGTGGGTTATCATTGATAAGGAGACAGAGCTGAAGGACTTTCATCCAGGTGCTGAGCCAAGCACCTCTGGTACCACAGATGAGGAGCCTGAGGAGCTAAGACCTATTGAAGACGGTGAGGAGAGAAGGCGCTTGGGCGCAGACGCTGCAGTCAGGCCGAAGACTCACGATGGGCGAAGTCGGGGTATGCAGCCTGTGACTGAGGAGGACAGTTCCCACAGACATGAAGGACCTTCTCAAACAGTATCTGACAGTAAACATGAACAGCAGACAGGAAGTCCAGCCCACTCCCCCCTACACTCAGCACCAGCTATCCGACAAAGGAGACGAGAATCTGAACCTACTGGTCCTCAGAGACAGGTAAGATCCTTACTCTGGTCTGTATCTCATTGCCTAGCATAGCGAAATCATCGCCTTGGGAAGCCTCAGCTTTGCTGGAGAAATCTGAGGTTCCAGACACGGATACTGTTGTGAAACTTTCTGACAATACTTGCAAATGTTGTGAACACCTTCGAGGTGCTCCCAGTAGCTGGTAGTGTTGTCCACTTCTAAGAGCACATTGTTGTCAAGATACTTAAGCATTTTTGCACAGATACAAGAGGTGAGCACATTTCTGGTTGTGGGTATCTTTAATAAGCCCTCTTATTATTATCCCTCAGTGATTTGTTAATAACTGCTTAGTTGTGTGGAGGTGTTACTAGCACGTCTCCTCACAGTTTCTCAACAGCAGCAGCAGCAATACGTTACAAGATAACGCTGCCTAATGTAATCATACATCATGGGTAGGCCTGCAGCAATGCATAGCATAAAGTAACTCCCTAAAATTAAACTTTCTTTGGAATACCTAATAAAATCTCAGAGTAACCAGTACATATACACCTCAATCTTACTTCAGTGATCAGCATTGTTGTCAGGCTTTTAACTCACAGAAATGTCATCAGCTACTGTGTTTTTTTCCTAACAGTTATAGAGGGCTTCGTTCATTTGTGGCTTTTTTTTTTCCCCCTATGGTCCTCTGAAGACATAAAGAAGTTCAGTTTTTAGTAAGAGGTAATATCTTTTATTAGATTACCTGGAGAAACATGATATACTGTTAGCTCAGATTACCTGTGTCATATCTAGTCTTCATTTCTCAGACATTCAAAGGAAGGCTGTAGAGTGTTAATAGCAAAAAAAAAAAAAAAAAAAAAAAAAAAAAGCAACCTATAAAATTGCTCTCCTGAGAGCTGGACTTTGTATGCTAGTGAAGATCTATCATGCACATGCAATCCATAAGTGAAGGAAACAAGCAGGCGAGTCTCAGACCATGTTGCAGAAATATGTTCTCATGGTAAGAGAATCATGGTAAGGCAATCTTGTTCACCTCTGGAAGATGGTAGCTCCGTTTTCCATTTCTTCTTGGCCTTGGTCTCTCAGAAAGTGTTCACAGGATTGGATCCTTGTGCACAAGCCCTGCCCAGATTCTGTTCTTCTCTGGATCCCAGAGAGTAATTAAAAAATAAAAAAAATAAAGGCGGAGGTGTTCACTGTAAAAAGCCAATATTTGGCATGGCCTAGATGTCTGGAATTGCATAGGCAGGACCAGCAAGTTGAAAGAGCTTCTGTGTGAATTTGTTCTGTACTCTTATTAAACTGATCAGTGCAAGATGCTCATAATGAAGTGAGTGTGGCACAAACCAGCTGGTAAGAACCAGCAGGGACGCTTCACTGGCATATTTTACATAGCTAAAAAAGGCTGGAGCAAGGATAGTAAGTGCTGTGTGAAATGTCTGAGGGAGTTGGGTATGATGCAGCAGGAAGGCTGCTTAGCACAGCATAATGATGCTTTAAAAAAGGTCACCCTAGCAGGCAAAAAAAGAAAATTCACTTCCTTTCATTAAAATAGATAATGTGGTTGTGGGTGGTCACTTAATGTATCAGACACCCTTGGTTCTCCACCAGTCTGTGCCTTTCTTTGTTCGTCAGTTCTGAAATACTCCCTGGTTACTACTGAGCCTCATTTTGTTCAGCCTCAGCTCTCTCAATTTTTTTGTTCCAGTGAAGGATTCTTCAGCCCCTTCATCATTCATTGGACTATCTTTAATAGCTTCCAAGCTTAGAATTGGACCCGGTGCTCTAGGTGTGGCCCCACCAGCACTGAGAAGAGGGCAACGGCCATCACCCTCCACCTGAACGGAGCATTCCTAATGCACCTTAGGAAGCAGTTAGCCTTTTCTGCAGCAAGAGCACACTGATGGCTCATGTTCAATTTGGTGTCCATCAGGATCCCCGGGTACTTCTGTACCAAACTGCTATCAACTGAGGATGCAGTCTGTCCAATCGTTTAATCACTAATGAAGTGTCCCTAATATCATCCCCTGGGCTGCATCACCAATGACTGGAAGTTCAGGCAGTTTTCAGTCCAGCTCAGTATCCATTTATCTTGCCTACATTTCATCATTTTGTCTCTGAAGGTGTTTTGGAGACAACGTGAAAAATCTTGCTGAAGTTGAGATAAGCAACCTTTCCCTTTTTTTCTCACCCAGTGAGCCAGTGATCTCATCACAGAAATCTATCAGGTTCATGAGGAAGGATTCAGCCTTCATATACCTGTGCTGATGGCTCCCAGTTCCCTTTTTCTTAATGTATGTGGAAATAGGTTCCAGCAAGATTTGCTCCACGGCCTTTCCAAGCTGACTAGAGTGCAGTTTCCCAAGTTGTCATCATCTACAGCTCAGATGTTTGTTTAAACGTTTGAATCTGTTGCAAGAAATACTGCAAGTGTGAGAGAAAGTGGTGTCCTTAAGAAACTGTGGTGTGTGAGGGAGCAAAATATGAATGAATGGTGCTGTGGGCAAAATGAAGTATAGAAAAGGCTTTTAATAGCCTGGGAGAATTTCTGGCTGAGAAGGTATGGAAGAGATGTGTGGATGTGGCATTAAGGACATGGTGTAGTGGTGGGACTTACTAGGTCAGATTAATGATCAGACTTGATATTGAAAATGTTTTCCAACCTAGATGATTCTGTAATTCTCTGTTCTCATATATTAGGTATCTTCTATTTTCAAATGATGAGACAGCTACAACAGAGCATAGTCTCAAGGGAAGTGCTGATACAGAAGCAGAACAGCATTGTCCTGAAACCATACCTAGTTCAAGGCCTTCTGTCTGTGTGCCGCTTATTGAAGCGCTGAGCATACAACAAGCTACTTAACAGAGCATTTAGGTTTGTTAATATATGAATTGTAATAACTGTGTAACAGACCTTATGTCTGCAGGCTAACATGCAGATGAAGCTGTAGAAATAGCTAATGCATAGAAAGATCTTGAACTCGCACTTCTGTTTACACATTAATTCTGGTGCAAGATCTCTGTTATTTTTTAGAAGTGTTTTTGTCCACACTTAGCAATGTCATTTAAAAATTTGTCAAGTTCTTAAATATGCTGACTAAATTCACAGATACTTGATAAAGATGGCAAGTTACCTCTGCCTTCTGCATTGGGAAGAAATATGAACATTCATGCATTTAAAAGTTTTATCCATTGCTTCCGTCTATAGGTCTGCACACATGAGTATTTCTTTACTCTGAATCTCCTTTGCTGCTTGACCAACTGGTGTTGTAGAAAATGTTTTGAGGCTCTTTACCTAAAACATTCCTGCCTAAGTGATGTTCTATCGGAGAAGTACAAAAGTGTGAAGCAACACTGGGAGATTGAATTAACTTTTCCTTACCTATTCTTGGATATATTCTGCGGAGCTCACAGGGTACTTTGCTTACACTGTGTCTTGCAGTCCCATCTTCTGGAGCCAGGAGTTTATCCTTTAGTTAAGATCTCAATATAAGATCCACAGATATATTTCCTCACAAGCTTAGCCACGTTGTTAGAATTATTCTTTATAAAATCCTGCTTGGACAGGATTTTATAAATGTTAGATCTCTTTCCTCTTGCTGCCAACCTCCCACAGGCAGGAGAATACCACGTATGGACTTTCTTAAAGTTGCCTGTGTCTTGACCCTAAGAAATCAGCGGTTGTGAAACTTAGAAACTCTTTCAATCGTATCCCACCCTTGGCATCTTTGCTGAGAGATCTCACAAGTGTGCTCAACATGAAGACTTACGTTGGTACAACATGAGTAAGACAGGAGGCAGTTAGAACACATTGGCCTGGCTTCACCTGGGAGTTGTCTGTTGTCACTGACTTTATTCAGTAAAAATCTGCGTTGAAACCCTCACTGAGCCAAGAAAATTCTCTATTCTGGTGTTGAGTCCAGTGCCCTCATGCTCTTGAACCTCATCATCACCTTGTTTGAGGGATGCAGTAGTTGTGATATTGCCTGGTATCCATGGAAGACCCTGTCCTTGCTGGTGACCCTTGTGTGCTGCTGCTTTCCTTCATTGATCTGAGGTCGTGGCAATTGTTTTTCAGAAAGAGGCAGAGACATAGGAGAGGGCTGTCTCACAAAACAGGGATCATATGTTGGTCATGAATCATGTGTTGTAATGTCCTAGGTTGCCCCTGGATCTGTTACCTGAAGTTTCGTTTGATTTGCACTGGGGACTGAAAGCTGCGTAGGACATTTTCTGGATTGCATTTTGAGCTCTTTGACCACAGACCCTGGAGCAGTGATGAGGGAAATCCTTAGCACCCCCAGAGTACAGGAGGCAGCAGAAGGAGATGGAGACTGGAATGGCTGCCCAGGGAGGTGGTGGAGTCGCCGTCCCTCGTAGTGTTCAAGAGGCGCCTGGATGAGGAGCTACGAGAGATGGTTTAGTGCTTGTTGCACTGATAGGAATGGGAGGGTGGTTGGACTGGATGATCTTGCAGGTCGTTTCCAACCTTGTGATTCTGTGATTCTGTGAGATGACAAACAATCTGACAATGTCAGATTCACAGCTCTGAGCAGAGGAGGTAGGGCAAGGGAAGAAAGCAACAAGGAAGTGAGATATGAATAGGTGCTGTGTGTCTTGCTTTCCTTTTCATTCTACAGCAACATCTGTGGGGCCATTTCTCAGTAGTGAGCAACGGGCATTTGCAGAAAATTGGTAATTACGTTTAATGTCTTATTCTGAAGTCTGTTGAGCTCTGTCAACACCATGCTTCTCCTGGACTAAGAGATGTCACACTGCTCCTGTCCAAACAGAACAGGATAGGGCTGATGGAGGGTGGTCCAGCTTGACTGCCAAGGGCAAAGAAATGAAGAGGGGCAGCACTTTCAGCTTTGACTGTGTAATTCAAGCATTAGGACATCCATTAATGTAAGTGGCATGTTTGTAATCTCAGCTTCTGCCAGGAGGCAGCAATGTCTGATTTTACTTGGTGGCGAGGGGTTGAAATTTACCCCTTTGTGACCTGGGCAAGGTCCTTGGTTCTGTGCTGT